CATGAAGAACCCTCTCTCGTGAACAATTCGTTCAATCCCACATGACTTCCAGTTAATCAATAATATATTCCGCGCAAACGGTGTAACTCGTATGAGCAACGGTTCAAACGACTGCATGCCGCTAAAAGCCGGATACCCCCTCATGGAATCTTCAGCAAGGCGAATTCCATGCGTCTCTTCCAGTGACCCTACTCGCTGTAGCACCTTAAAAACACCCACTAATGAAGATCGAGGAGACAAGCCTGTCTTGAGGTGCCTATTTTCCGTCCCCACTCGGTTGGTAGTTAGGTTTCCTAAAGTCAACCTAGTCCTCACGGTATGGTAACCAAGTTCGGCGTAAATAAACCCCTGCTTCTGTGCTACGACTTTCTACGGTGGCTAGGAATCTACGAAACGAGACCTCACTATCACAGTACTCCATGTTCCGCATCCATTGAAAGATGCGCTGCTTTTCGAATGCTGGCATATGAGATAGCTGGTTACATTTCTTCTTCATATCCTTAACGAGATGGAAACGACAAAATATTACGTTAGATGACGGTTAGTATTCTGAAAATGCGTTGTACTGAGCCAAGCTACGATCAACTACTATAGTCTTTCATTGGCAAGACTGGGCACATAGATTTCATCGCTCCCACAGCAGATCTATAGTTCTCACCGCTATCATTCGGCAAGATAGCGTAGAATAAACTTCTTCCTGAACCGGTGTCGTCCACAAGAATAGCATGCCAAAGTACGTACCGACCGCAGTTTAGCTGATGCGTGGCTTCCGCTAACAAAACATCATCAAATCCGTCGACGCAGTGCAGCCTAATCTTAGGAACAAAATAAATGGGACAAACGACGCCTTGGTTCAGCCCTATCCTAAGCTCTCCTTGATTCTCCAGCATATCTCTTACTTTCACCGCATCGTCACGTGAATCCGACTGAGACCTTCTTCGACGTATGGATCTAATATCCGTCGTAGTTCAAAGTCTCTTGAGCCTGTCTGTGGTGGAATCCCTCAGCTCGCAAGTACTTCTAACATCGTCCATCAAAGTACACACTTCCCCTTCCTGTTCTCCAGGTAGACGACGATTACTTATATACAGACCCCGCTGACCCACACGGAAGTCATGGTTGTGCACCAGACAACGTTTCATCACTCGGTACTCCCTCCCGACCGCAAGAATTCCAATGAATGCCGGCCAATCGATATTTTGCAGCCTAAAATGGGTTGATTACATTAGAAATGAGAGGCATAATTACCTGGTTGCAGTTGCGCCGCGCCTTCTGTGAT